AGACACCCTCTGCCTGAGACAGGAGATGACAAAACTGAGGAGATCATCCGATGGAACGTGAATGCAGAGCATGCTGTGGTTGTCACGCAAATCAGAGAGGAAACCCAGAAAGATGAGATCATGCAGCGATTGGCCAAGAGGATCTCTAAAGGGGACTGGGAGAAACACAAGAGAGATAAAGACCTTGAACCCTACCTACATGTAAAGCAGGAGTTATCAGTTGCAGAAGGACTTATCTTCAGAGAACACTGAACAGTACTGCCACCTACACTCCAGAGAAAAGTGGTCAGACTAGGACACAGCCTAGGACACTTAGGAAAAACCAAGACCAAGCAAATGCTAAGAGAGAAGTACTGGTTCCCTCTGATGAACAGCATGATAGACACAGAGAAGAACCAATCAAGGTGACCAACATCCCAAACCGACCTTGGGACACAGTATCCATTGACCATGGTGGACCATACCCAGATGGTCACTACAATCTCGTCCTGATTGACAAAAGAACCAGGTATCCAGTGGTAGAGTCAGTACCATCAACTGACTTCCAGACTAATAAGGAGAGATTGAAGCACATCTTCGCCACCTATGGAACTCCGAGGAGAATTGAGAGCGACAATGGACCCCCGTTCAATTCTAAAGAGTTCAATGAATTTGCAGAGCAGGAAGGATTTCAGCACCATAGGGTGACGCCCCTTCACCCAAGAGCAAACGGAGAAGTAGAGAGATTCATGCAAACCCTAAACAAGACCGAACAAATTGCAAGTCTGCAAGGCAAAAACCGTCTTGAGAGGAGAAATGCGGTTCAAGACATGCTTACTGCTTACAGATCGACACCGCACCCAGCTACTGGAGTCACACCTTATGAAGCCCTTAAGGGGACATCCGTGAGAACGAAGTTGGATTACAATGAACCTGAACCACAAAGGAATGAGAAGGATGACTTAGTTGACTGCAGAGATGCAGAGTACAAGCAGAAAATGAAGCAACAGAGAGAAGGGAGAAAGACCAGAGAGAATAATCTGCTACTAGGAGACTATGTGCTTGTCAAGCAGCCGCGGAAGAACAAGTGGAGTACACCCTATGAACCTGTGTTCTATGTTGTGTGCAATATTCATGGTTCCCAAATAACCGCCAGACGTGTCACAGATGGATGAACAGTCTGCCGAGATGCCAGCCAATTTAAGCTAGCAAATGCAGTTATCAACACCTCCGATGAACCAGAGAAGAGTGAGGAAGCACAAACACCACAGGCAGTTCCAGACCTCGAGATCCCAGAGAAGGTGAATCCACCAAGTGTACCACCTGATACAAGAGCAAATGCAGAGAAACCACCCAGTACAGAGATATTGGTAATACCGGAACAGGAAACTGAATGGAAACAAGGAACAGAGCCTAACCAGCCAGTGAATAAACCAGCAGTGATGAGACCCAGACGGGAAAGGCACCAGCCCTCACATTTGAAAGACTATGTTGTGGAATGTATTTGAAAAGAAAATGCAAGAAGTTGTGTTACACCAACTGCATACCTATTTTGTTGTAACGATATCTACATAAGCTGTATAGTTCATCATAGCACTTCAGGCACTTGTTACTTTGTATTGACCTATAAAAATGAACAATTTTGTCTCTCAGGACCATTCAATCTTAATTCCCTTGTAAAGAAAGTAAATGATGTCTATAGACTAAATGACTGTATCAGTGATGGAACACAAAATATATATTATTCTTTATTTTGCTCATCAGCAGTTTCAAATGAAGAAAGAAAGAACATCGTAAGAACATTTAAATCTATGCAAAAAAAGAGAGACATCTACAATAAATACAATGACCATTATTCGCACTTGGAGCCAGCAAAGAAAAAGCAGCGTTACAATTCGATGGATAGAGCAAAGAAAGATGAGCTTCTTGAAACTTGTGCTAAAAAATATAAAGAAATGGATGCGTCAAAAAAGAAACAATGTCTTAAAAATCGGAGAGAAAAATATAAACAGATGGACGTTTCCCAAAAAAAACAACTGTTAAACAAAATTGCTGAACATAGTAGAAAAAGGTATCACAGTATGGATTGTAAAAGAAAGAAAAACATCTTAACACAAAAAGAAATCAATTAGCAATAGCTCGACAGACCAGAAAAATTTCAAAACTTAATGTTGACATTTGCATTTCACAGTTTTGCCAGAAAATAAAACAGGGTCCTTATTATGTATGCACTGTCTGTCACAGGATGCTTTATAGAAAATCTGTATTAATATTTAACAAACAAAAATATGTTACCTGCAACATTCAAAACATCTTTACAGACAAATTATCATTTGACAATAAGGAATACATCTGTAACACATGTCACTCCAAAATAATCAAAGGAAAAGTCCTTTGTCGAGCATTGTACAACGACATGTTTGTAGATGATATACCAACAGAACTCTCCTCTTTAGAAAAACTTGAGCAGATTCTCATTGTGCAAAGAATTGTTTTTGAAAAATACTGGTCATGCCAAAAG